CCCCCTCTCTCTCTCTCTCTCTCACAAACACACACACACACAAAAGGGAGGGGAAACTGGTTGTCATCATCAGAACATTAACAAAGACAAGAGTAGTGAGCACACACCCACACCCCCAACAACTCACCTCCATGACAGAGCCCTCCGAGCTGTACAGGGCAGCCAGGACAGATTGCTGCAAGAGGAAACAAAGCAGGGTAAAAGTAAAAGTAAAGTAAAATAAACTCCTCAATGGCAACCGATTGTTGAGGACAAAAAGTAGTTGTTTTAGACAGGTGGCTGTCTTGGACAGTGTCATTCAAATTTTCTTTTAAACCACAAAGGGGGAAGCAGGAAGTGGTTGTTTGCACAGGCTATGAACAAATGGCAGTAACAGCAGGTTCAACTGAATTTGACTATCCTCTATTCAAAAGACAAGACAACACAACAAACAGAACTCCCCCCCCCCCCAACCAACCAAACAACCCCAAAATAGTTCTCTGTGGAAGTACCAACCGTTCTATACATATGACTCTATGACTCAGAGAACAGCAACGTCATTGTAACCCACCTATCATCACCATCTGTACAAATGAGTAGAATCTCCATCAAATTTTTTTTCGCTCATCCTTTAAAACACAATCTATTATTTTTCCTGGTACAGTGGCGAAATAATAATCTTCATAATGCTAGTGAGTCATAAAATTCCAACCCATCAAAATCAACCCCCACCCCAGTCATTTACTGGTATCGAATGATTTATACTAAATCAATCGCTGTAAATAACATCCATTATGGTAATGGCCCCTACTTTTTTTAAAAATTAACTACTCCAGTGACACTGTATGCTAATGGCTTTTATAAAAAATTGAAAATGTATTTCTGTGACATTGCATAGCAATGGCAATTATTAAAAAAATACTTTATTACTACTGCAACACTTAGCAGGAAAGCAAGCATAACCCGTAGGATAATTAGACTGGTATGATCAGACAGGTAATCAGGCTGTGCTCACCGACTGCACTTGGAATGAGTTGGTGGTTCCGCGGTGGTCAATGTCGTGGCACAGGCAGGACACAAACAGGGCGAGCAGTTCGATGTCTCTGGAAACATAGAAAAAGATAGGCTCATATGAATAAATACAGTATCTCCGTGGGCAGAGAGAACTTTTCACTTTGTCCTTAATCCTCACCACAGTGACTTTTTATTGACCCTACCTACACTGTATGGCTAGATAAGAGGCCAGACCTCCAAAATTAAGGTCTTACTTTTGTAGGACTGAGTCAAGAGGGTCGAGAGTCTTGAAAACTTTTCAAACAACAAAAATTCAAGAACACACTATTGTGGATTGGAACCACTGCCATTCGCACTGTAGTCCTGTACAACTTCAACTGACATCGACTGAGTTGTCAGCACACCCTGTTTGTTTGAGTAAGAAGATTGACACATAGACAAAATAATGGTCATTTTAGTGCGGAGAAAAAGTAAAAGATACAGACAGAAACAACAGAGGGAAAGTTAAAAAAAAAGTAGGACCTACTAGCAGTGCCCTCAACCACCTGCTCAGCACACCCTTGCCTGTAAGACCAACATATCATAAACAATCACAACAAAAACCAAAAACACAGGCTTACTCCAAATAGTTGTGTAGCTGCAGGTTTTTTATCAGCAGGTAGCAGAAGTGAGTGACTGCGTAGGCGTGCATCCAGTTGTGGTAGGGCGGGTTCCTGTAGCCTTTCTTCACCATCATCAAAAACCTGGGAAGCAAAATATAAAAAATACTAGTCAAAGAGTCTTTTAAAAGAAATAGCATTTTCCTAAAGTAAAAGAAACTGGGTTCCACACTTCATTGCTTTGTGACCATTGAGGTGTCTTTTCATCACATTTCTACATCAAGCACTTTGAAAATAGGCCACCTTACTTTCTGTTGGAAAAGAAGCTCGGTGTTTTCAATATCTCTAGCTGCAGAGTAGCCAACTTTAAACTATTATCATCCTGATGCAGGAATCTATCCACATTAAAAAATGTAGTCTTTCGTCACTGAAGTCCCTCACACTAGACTAGTTATACCATTAAGGCAATTAAGGAGCCATGGAGCCACTGAAAAGATCAACCCAAGTGGATGGGGAACCTGAAAAAAAATCTCCCCAAACAACCCAAATCATATAACACTTTCATAGGGGATTGGAGTCGCAGCCATCTTCACCATAGCCCAGCATGATACAATGGAGCTAATGGTGTGCCCTCGTCCTATCTGCATCAATGACAAAGCAGAAAGTGTCAGCTAAGTAGCACATGAAACGCTTTCCTTTCCGGTTACCTCTGCAGAAATCAGCTTCCAGCACACTACCTCAGAGAGCAGAGGAAGCACTGTTGACTTTTTATTAACCTTCACTGCACTTTTAATCAACCCTCACATGTCTGTTTTTACTAACCATCACCACACTGACCATTTGTTAACCCTCAAATGACAGGTATTTAACTTAACCATCACTTGACTGACTTTTCAGTATCCCCTGACAGCTTGACTTTTTGTTAACGCTCATCTAACTGAATTATAATAAACCTCAGCTGACTGACTTTCTATAACCCTCAGCTGACAAACTTTCCATTCATCCTCACCTGACTAGAGTTTCCGTCTTGATCCTCCAACGTGAGGAAAATCCCAGGTCCTCGAACATGCTCAAGCATGACTGTCAGAGAGTAGATACAAAGACATGGTCACAAATGGCAACACACTATAGCAAAAACATAATACGTCTAAACTTGACCTGAAACAAACAAAAAATCTTTCATGAAGCCAAAAAATCATTTCTCTAAAAGCTGCAATCTGGGAAAATAAGGTAATGTTCTCAAACACTTTATGGAGAATGGAGATTTATCTACTTGGTATGTAACAGATGCAGCAGCAGTGGTCTGAACAGTTCTATCCACTGCATACAATAATGTCTGTTCTTGACTGGTCAACATTTTACATTCAGTAAAGTATTATCTCATTCACTTTCACTAATACACACACACCTACCTTGTGCTGTACAGGTCTACATTTTATGCCCTTTAATGACACTTCTCTCTCTCTCACTCTCTCTCTCTCTCTCACACACACACACACACACACACACACACACACACACACACACACACACACGCAACGCACACACACTCTATGCAAGACTAGACTACATAATATCTTCTGTAAAGACAGTTCACATGGCTAAATTTTGTACCTGACAACACCCACAAAAGTTCCAAATCACAAAGAGAGTACAGTTTACCTGGCCATTGATGTAATAAAACTATTGCTATAACAGCCAACTTTTGTGCCATTCCTACTTTCAAAAAAATGTGTGCCCGGGCACACACACACAAACATATATAAATATACAGAGGAGTCCGCTCAAACCAAAAAGAAACCTGTGGGGCTGCAGATTCTCTTTGGCTTAGCCATGTTTTTGGTTTAGAGAGGGTTGCTCAAATAGCAATAATTGTCCACAGTGTAGAGTTGGGAATTTTAACTTTCTGAAAGTTTTTTTCTCTCCTACCTCTTTTAGCAACTGCAAAATTTGAGCTACAAGCTTGATTCATTGTATTTACTTTCTCTTTGACATTGTCAGCTTGCCTATTCTGCCGAACAGTCACACAGAACATACCAAAGACTAGATCAGCACACTGAACTCACTGCACAGTGGACTGTGCTCTGCACTTTTTATTAACCCTCATGTCTGTTTTTACTGACCATCACCACACTGACTTTTTATTAACCATCACCTGATTGACTGTTCATCAACCCCTGACTGCTTGACTTTTTGTTAATGCTTACCTGATAGACTAGTCAAGGTAAGTGAGAAAGCTGGTGGCTTCATGAAATACACCACAGACAATCACATGCTCATGTGTAGGGCCTTTGTGAATGAATTTCCCAGAGACAATTGGCCATGACCAACCAAAAGTTGCAAGACGGCGTAAATTTGCTATCCTTGCTTCACTAATCCTATAAACAGTGTGTAGGCCAACTGATGTGTGAGATAAAAAGAGGCAAGCAGTACACTGGCGATGCCTCTCTTTGACCCCAAATCAACACAGGGTTGTTCTTGTGTCTCCTTCTCCTGTTTCGCTATCTTAAAACACATAAGACCTGATGATTTACTTTACTTGAGCGTTGCTACTGAAGATTTCATTGATATAGCTCAAAAAATTCTTCTCGGTTTGGAAATTGGAGCATTTTGGCTCATTCTTAGTTTTTTTTTTTTTTACAAACATAAAGGGAAAAAAATATCAGGGACTTTATTTTTATTTGGTTTACCATGGTTTTCGGATTAACCATGTTTAGTTTAAGCTGACTCCAGTGTTCATCATTTCTGCCCATGTCTCACCAAGATAGTTCCAGACTCTGGAATTGTCCTGGGGGCAAAATCGAAGGAATCGAAATTCACGTTGAAGGTAGTGACGGTGGGCACTGTGGATTCTGCCATGGCAAGCACTTCATATGTGGGGACTTGCTATAAACAGAAAAGAGAATGGGAAAAAATAATTCAGGAATGATAAACAATATCAACAAGTACCCACATAATCACCTTTCTCAAATAAACAAATATCTTTACTTTTAAAAATCCTTCAAAACAAATTTTAACTTCAAACGAAAATGAAATTAACTGATAAAGATTACATTTATTGGCTGCTTTATTCACTGGCAAGTCCAGGTAAATATTTACTTAGACTAAACATTAAATTCTGCTGACATGGCAAAATTGAGAGACAAAGTCTCTTGGATAGCAGCAAATTACACTTTTCAGTAGTATTCTTTCCAGCATCAGTGTCCAAATACAAAATGTTTACAGTGACTGCAGAACATGCAAAGTCGTATGAAAAAGAAAAAGCATTCATGTTCAGCTAAGAAGTTATTTCATTTTTTAAAAAGAACCTAAAGAATTTGTAAAATATAGCCCATCAAGAAATAAAGACTATTCCCATAGTGACTATGCTGCACATTGACAATTTCCTGCACATTACATTTCCATTTGAAGGAAATTCACAAGGAAAAAAATGTAACTTATATCTGTTATCTTAAACTGTGTAACAGCATTTATAGAATAAAGATTTACATCATAACATTCTTCATTTTTAAAACACTAAGAATTAATAAATCTGGTTCACACGTCCACTGCTAAACACTACCATCAATATCATTGCTGAGAATGCATTCTTAGTTTAGTACAAGTTTTACAGCACTTGTGACACAAAGAGCCGAAGATAAGAGGTGTTACCAGAGAGTAACAAACAAAGAAAAGGAGGTGGAGTGATAAAGACGACAGATGTTTGATAAGAAAGAAGGAGTAAACCACATCATCTCATTCACAACCACCCACAAACGCATCCTTTTAGTATTAGTAAGTTTTACGGCACTTGAGGCACAATAAGGTCATAAAAGTGCTGAAGATTAGACGGGTTACAAGAGAGTAACAAACACACACAAAAAAAGAAGGAGATATCAGGACGATAAATGTTTGGTAGGAAAGAAGGAGCAAACCACACCAGAGCACTCGCCAACCACCCACACGCATTCATTGAAACTTGAGAAAACAACACAGGACACCTTCTCTCGCTCCTTTCACTGCTTGTCTCTACAGCTGCGCACCCACCCCACCCCCACCACTCTCTCTCTCTCCCAAAACATGATCTCTTAATTTAGTTTTAGTAAGAGTTTTATGGCACTTGTAACACAGGCCGAAGATAAGGGGTGTTACAAGAGAGTAACAAACACTAAAAAGAAGGAGGAGAGATAACGACGATAGGTGTTCTAGTTCTACATGAGAGAAGGAGTAAACCACAGTAAACACCCGCCAACCACCTACATCATCATCCAGTGCCAGATCTGAGACAGACATCGGCGAACATGGTTCTCCATTCATTCCTTTGCTCGGATGCTCTAAAAAAAAGCTACGTTTCCCTGATCTTTCCCTGTTATCCATTTGTTTAGGTTCCCTAAATTAGATATGTTGTTCTGGGCCTACCCCTGCTGCAATCGCCCTCAATTTTGCCAGTGAAAGCTAAATGTTCAAGACCCTTATTATGTCTATTCAGGTGTCCCAAAAACTGCATTTGTCGTTTCTTGATTGTTTTTAACATTGAGCGTCCCACGTGGGCTTCATCAAGCACTACCTCATTTGATTTCTTTTCCTTCCACGATACTCTTAGCAGTCTCCTAAGAAACCACATTTCTGTTGTTTCGATTTTATTTTCACTCTTTAGTGATTGTCCGGCATTCACAGCCATATAGAAGGGTTGACCAAACATAGCATTTCAGAACTTTCATTTTGGTGTTCATTGAGATGTTTATATTTTCAAGGATTGGGCTCATTTTATTGAAACTAGCCTTAGCCATTGTAATTCCCCGTTTATATTTCGTTGTAATTCTCCGATTATATTTCGGTGGAGCATTTGGCATCAGACGTTATTATATATCCTAGATGTTTAAACAGTTGGACTTGTTTGATCTTTTCACCTTTGCTAATGAGATTGCAACTTGGATTTGCTGCTTTTTTGGATATTACTATGCAACAAAAACATTTTAAAAAACATTAGCGTAATTTAAACGTCCATGTAATGAACTATGACAGTCCCACGGGCCGCCAGACAGAGATCTTCAGCAGTATCCATTACACACTGGCCCGTGACCCAGAGGTCAGCGGCGGGGGCAACAACAACAGCAGCTCACCACGACCCGGCACTGACCACAGCAACACAGTACACCTCGTTCTTTCCTCTCCATTTCATCATCTTATTTCTTCTCCTCTCTGTCTCTGTCTCACACACAAACACACGAACACGCACACGCACACGCACACACACACACACACACACACACACACGCTCTCTCTCTCTCTCGTTCAAACACAAAGACACACACACAAACACACATTCTCTCTCTCTACCACCTCTCTCAAACACATAAAAACATGCTCTCACTCTTTTCTCCCCAACCCACCTATCTCTCTCTGTTACACATAACACTCAAGCGCTTTTGGAAACTCTAAAATCAGATGGTAAAACTACGATTAAACTTAATCAGCCTTATGTATAGGCACCATCTGGTCGTGCACTCCAGCTTACAGTATCCATAAAATATTACATAGTCAGCCCATGACGCACACAAACTTCATTAGCATCGGGATAACAACAATAACAACACGCTTTTCGGGGCTCCAAACAAAGCGGAAGGATAGGCTATCTCTCTCTCTCTCTCTCTCTCTCTCTCTCTCTCTCTCTCTCTCTCTCTCTCTCTCTCTCTCTCTCTCACACACACACACACACACACAAACAACAATAACACAATGATGACACCAAATGGAGGCTCACCACTGTCAGAACGGCATCTGGACAATAAAAATGTTATCTTATTTTGTCTTTATATTACTATCTCAATCCACTAGATCTATCCCTATCTGGTTTACTGATCGACTGCACTACCACGATTCATCTCGTTCTTTAGCCACCCTGCTCTTTCTCTTCATCTACTCTAGGCACCGACTAATGTCATCACATATATTCTCTATTTTTATTATTATTTTTTTTTAAATCTTTAGTAACGAGTTATACGGCACTTGCAACACCAGTAGGTCATTTAGAGGTGCCGAAAATTCATACAAAGAAAGTGGGGGGGGGGGGGGAAGACCCAAACCACACCAGAGCACCACCCCAACATCCACAATGTCAGTCAACCTTTCTAACTTATCGAAAGCTGTCTCCTTCAACTTCAACCATCTTTTTTTTTTTGATAAGAATTTTAAGGCGTTCGCAACTGAATAATAATAATATGGTCATATAAGCACGCGGGACAAAAGTTAGTTGTTTCACAAATCACATAAAAGCCTTTTCAGTTTTGGTAGGGATTTATTTAGAATTTTGCCCGGGTGGCGGCCAAAGCCTACTACGATCTTAGGCCTACCAAGGGGACGTTAACGTGCACAACTTGCACACGGGACCTCCCAGCCCGAGATCTTTTTTGTGCTAGGTCTTCGATCTTACCTACCGTAGGCCTACCCTATGATCAAGCATGTGGCTGAAAGACAGCAGTAAGAACGAGACAAGAGTAGCAGTAGAAAGAGTCAGGAGCTCAGAGGAAGGGGGGGCGCGAAAGAGAGGGAGAGAGAGAGAGAGAGAAGAGAGAGACCAGAGGAGAGCCCGCTCTGTAGGGGGGGGGGGGGAGAGAGAAAGTGGACATGGAAGCAGGTGACACATAATACTAATAGTAGAAACAGCTGTAAAGCGCATAGAACATGTTGTACGGTATGGATATGCGCTATATAAAAGCCATTAATATTTTATCTCATTTGTACCATCATACATTAAACTCAGGGGCTCCCGTGGCTTAGAGGTACGTTGCTCGCCTCTAATTCAATAGGTCGCGGGTTCGAAACCTGACAGTGGCGGAAAATTTTCTTCTTACAAAAAATTCTCCCTTCATCTTTCCTGCTCTCTTACCAAGATCTGTCATCTGCTTTCGTTTCCACTTTCTCCTTTATATCTTATTACCTAGATCTCTCTATCCCTCTACGTTTACGAACTGCAATCACAGCACACCTCTCTCCCTCTGTACAATCTCTCTACGCCCCCTCCCCCACTTTCTGTTTACTGACTGTACTATCACTATCACAATCCGTCTTCACTTGCCATCTCAATCTTTCTGTCCCTCTCTCAACCATACAAGTCACCATCTCAACTACCAGAACTCGCCGAGAGAAAAAACAACACCCACCGACATATGTTGGTTACCACATACAATTTGGCATGAACACAGTAAAATCGGCGGAAAGAGGTAACCTTTTCGTTATGCTACGCACGTGTTTTTATATAATAAAAAGACAAATGTAAGAGAAAATTGGGGACCATAGCATTATCGCTATGTGCATGCTAGACACACTCTTTCCATCTGAGTCTCTCTCTCTCTCTCTCTCTCTCTCTCTCTCTCTCTCAAAACACAAGAAATTTTCAGACGATTACACTGGGATAATTACATGATGTGCCGCGCTCTCCATCGGTATCCACAATCCATGAACCACTGAGAAAAGTCACTGATAGCGAAAACGCACCACCATCACAATCACCACCGACGACGACGACGACAACGACGACGACAACGACAACGACACGGTGGTGACATTCACAGGAGGCTCACCACAGCCCAAAACTGACTGGACACTACTCTTTTCATTTCGCTCTACTCAAGAAATCGCATTATAATTTTTTCTCAATGCCTCTCAGAGGCTGAGCACTGATCTCACTACAAGAGTCGTCTCGATCTACCAACTACCTCTACTCATCTCTTCCCCCCGCGAGTTTGTACAACAGTTCGAGCCACCATCACGTACATCTGTACAGAACTGTAAGTTTGTAAGCTGGCACAGATCTCACAGAGAGATAGCCAGAGACCCAAGCTGTCGTCGGCAGCGTCCTCGCTCACTCACAAAACACATGTCGCTCACCTCCATCAAACCCGCGC